CTTCCGATCACGGGGCCACCACTCTACCTACTGAGCTATCCCTATATAATATACACAATATATTATATTATATTATATTATATTATATTATATTATATTATATTATCAAATAAAGAAGCTGATGTGTTATCAAAACAAGTGTCTGCATGTTTTCACTTCATGGATGCAGCAGGATGAACAGGTGAAAGAAGTAAACTTTTTCAGTACTTGGGGAAAACAAAAAAAGCAATATTATAAAATTAACTAAAAAAAAATATAAAGTTCCTTATAGTTTGTGGCTGTGACTCAGCAGGTTGAGCAGGTCATTTGCTAATGACTTAAATGTTTGATGGTTTGATTCCTGGCTGCTACTGTCTACATACCAAAATATCTTTGGGCAACACACTGAACCCTGGGTTGCTGTTCATCAGGGTGTGAATGTTAGACAGAAAGCACTTAGAAGCAAAGAAGCGCTCATATAAATGTGTGTGTGAAATAGAAATGGTGTATCTCAGTGCACAAAGTAGTAGTATTAGTAGAAAAGCAATTTAACTGTCCACTACATTTCTGTAATCCTACTAAATCAAAGTTCAGACTCTCAGATTGAAGACCCAGTTGGAATTTTGGCAGTACAATCACTAAATCTGCAAAAAAAAAAAAACATCACTTAACCCTAATCCTTGTAGCCGTAAAAAATAGAAGCAACAACTCCCATCATTCTGAAAAGAAAGTTCATGTGCTCTGTTAGCCCAACCATGACTGTGGCATTGACAGAAAACTCAGAAGGTCCTCTTGACAGTACAGTAGGACTGATATAGATTGTATAAATGGTGAATGCAGAGGTCTCCAACTCATAAAGAATTGCTGGGTCTTTGAAGGATACCTGCTGTTACTCCACTGAGCTGAACGAACTGCACACCTTTACAAATGAGTAACTTTTAATAAAGTCTACTTACGATTAAGCGTCACCAAAGCCAGAAAGGATACTATCAGCAGACCGACTCCTATCGACAACCTCTTCTTGGACAGACTGCAGTTTGTGCAACGGTCACCATACTGCAGACAGGAGACTGTTGTTAGAGTTTGCTCAAGATGCAGATTTGGTCACTTAAAGAATCAAACAATATATTATAAGGAAGACAATGACATTGATCAAGAAACATCTTAGGACTGGAGTCAGCACAAATTGACTCAGTCAGTAACAAAGTCCTGCAAGGATGCATTAAAAGAAACACACAAACAAGGATTCTCTATGACAAACATTTAAGCTATGGAAAATATGAACTATAAGAGGAAGCTTTTGGCTGCTGGCAATGAGACAAGGGCAGAGAAAGTGAATTGTAATCGACACTTAAGGAACGTTTTATTTTATATATTTTTGTCAAGTCAGAAGTAAAAATATTGAAGAGGAGAAGGTGGAGTGCTAAGTTACTGGGAAACACTAGATTAGTTAAGGTTTGCTAGCACCTGCATCCATAAAGTGTACAGCTGAATTACACACATACAGACAGCTGCTCATTGTTGTTAATACATTTCAACATGTCTCGGTCCTGGGTGGGTGACCCAGCGCTTTGAGTTTCTTGTGTCTCTGAGTTTTTGTATTAGGATCTTAGTTCTTTGTTGCCCCAGTTTATTCTTTAGTGTCTTAGTTTGGCTTTCTTGTATTCTCTTTAGTTTTCTGAGTATTTAGCCGCCCTCTGTGTCTCCCTGTTATTGTTCTCTGTGTTTCTTAGTTGCTCTGTCTCCCCTAGTCAAGTCTGCGTCTGTGTTACATTTCCTGTTTTACTTTGAAGGTCTGTGTCCTACGTGAATGTATTGAGTTTCGCTTCCCTTGGGTCTCGTTATGTCCGATTTCTCCCAGTTCAGTGACTTCAGTTAGCAGCTGTAGCTACAGCCACACTCCCAGCTTCAAGCCTTAAGAGTATCCAAACCAACAAGTGGTCTAAAAATGGTTAGGGTTATTTTTATGAAATAAAACCAGTTACTGCGACTCATGTCCACCATCTGGATTAGTCACTGTTTTCATTAATGCTATTTTTAGGCAGCCTTCTGATGACAGCCTGAGAAATTACCCCAACTTCTCGCTATAAGTGGGTGGTTACTCAAAAGGCAGAAATTCAACCATTTCCTCCTTCTTCTTTTTTTTTTACTTTTTGTGATTAGCGTTAGGGTGGAATAAAATGATTAGTGAGATTCTGTCTCTTCTAAAGAGAAAACAGTGGTGAGAGAAAGACTACAAGACTGTGTGCGCAGATTATTTGGTGGTGCACAGAATTTGGAACCATTAACAACATATTAATATAAAACAAGAACATCTCTGTTTTGTAATCTAAGCTGAAACCAACAAACCTGTTCCTGATGTGACATAATGGGCAGGTTAACATTACAGATACTGGACTCACCTGTCTGGTACTTAAACTCTCCTGTGAACCCAGTAAATCCACAGTGTCAGTGTCCCAACTCATGGTTCCCAGGGGGCCTTAAAAAAAGATTCAGTGTGGTTTATTGTCCTCTTTATTTTTTTATTTTTTTTATTTAAAGATCAGCAGGTCTCTCTCTCCCTCTCTGGGTAGAAACCGACGGGTTTGTGTTGGTTCTTATTGGAAGCTCAGTTCTGGAAAAAGATTGAGTACAGAGATGAAAGATGAGATTGGTGGCCTGTTCTTTAAACCGTATTCAGATTCTGATATATGTATGAATCATCCTAATTTTAATCACATCAAATTATTAAGACAGAAAAGTCTGATCCAATCTGAACATTAATATCTCAAAAACTCTCTAAAAAGATCACATTTTCACCGCTCGTCCTTTTCTAAATAAATCTGTTTAATTTGGGACAGTTGCACTAAAAAAGTCTGAGTACCAGATGGTTGATACATAAGTCAGACCCATGTTTGGGCAAAAGACAACAAGTACCTTTTTTTTTTAAGTGGTTTTATAGAAAACAGTACAGCAGCAACAGTTTTCTCCTTTTTGTACAAAGTTTGTTTTTCATGCACTTTGACACTTTAGTTTGGTTTTTGTTTTTACATGTTGCTATGATGTAGTAAAGAACAATCACAGGGACTTCATGAGTTTCAAAAAGTGTTATTTGCAAATAAATAAATATTTGTCATTGGTGCCGCGACCAAAACCTCTGACTGACGCTCACACTCATTTCTGCTGATGCCCCGCCCCCACAGGATGTGTGTGGTCTGTTCAAAAAGAACTAAAAGAAAACATATTAATTTAAAAACATTTTTCTAAGAATGCTGACATGACCAGATATATATCTATTTTCTAAATGTCATCACTATTTTACCTCACACCATAATCCTTTCTAAACCAGAGCGCATCATGGAAACTCATATCTGATTGTTAGCAGAGATTTTGCACTTGAGAAAAAAGATGATAAACAACAAAATGATTCTGGAAACTAACAGAAGATGAATTTCATTAAAAATCAAAACAACAATAATGCATATTAATCCAAATATAAGAGATAAATGTAGTAATGCTGTGAGATCATATTTGTACTTGAGAAGAACTCGTTTAACTGAAGATCTGATTTTTTCTTCTTTTGAAAGCTTTAAATATCCTACTTGTCCGTTGCTTCTGTCAGTGTGGGAGCAGCAGCACAGAGTCTTTAATGTTGTGTCTGAGTGCAACTTCAGCAAAAGTGATTTAAACAACCACAGTAGTTTTATGTGTCAGAATAACTTAACAATTTAGTTTATTTTACCGTCTGTGGGAAAATAGAACTTTTGGCTCAGCTAATTTAAGTATCCCAATATGTCACGATGATACACCAGTATCCACAAAAGGCAGCAGGGCTGAGCACACCGCAGCAATTTTTCACCACCTCTTTTAAAGTCCAAAAATTTTTTTTCCTTCAATTCAGCCGGCGGGACAAAAAATAAACGACATAATAATATTGAGTGCGCAGCTGCAACTCAGCTGCTAAGTTGTACCTGCTCCACCTGTACACCTTCTTCTCTTCAAACGTTTAATAATACTGGGCTGCCCTCCAGCCTCCTACTAGATACACCTATGATATCAACTAGTTATCGAATTCACTAGATTTTCAGAAACCTTGAGCTGAAAACCAGGAGCCAGGACGGCAAATACACAGTCCTACCGCTCACAGAGAACTGCCTCAGAGCATGAACACTTCTACTTAAGTAATGAACACTTTTGCCACCTTTGACTATCAAACAGCATAACAGACATGAAGGTTAAATAATAATAAATATTGTTTTAAAGGAATGAAAAGTGAAAAGTGGATTCATTATATAAAAATGTAAAACCATTACATCAGTGAAACACTGTTCTCACTGCTATATCATTAGAAAAGAATTAATTCAAGTTGAATTGACACTTGAAGACAAAACCTGTTTATTGCAAACTAATCTGTTCATTCAAAGCTGTGCGTGTGTGTGTGTGTGTGTGTGTGTGTGTGTGTGTGTGTGTGTGTGTGTGTGTGTGTTTTGATGTGGTTTAATCTCAGTTAGCATAAAGAGATTCTGATTTGTTCATTTTCTGATGATTTAGTTATGTTATGCTTGCAGATCCACATTTACCGTACATACATTTATATAGTAATGCGTAGTTTCACTGACCATTCTTGCAGCACTTTATTATAAATTTCAAAAACTTGATCTATATCACATCCTGTGAGGTGACAGTGCTAACTACTGTAGCACATCTTGTGCCTCAAGACACAATGTACTTCAGTCCTTTTTTGCGCCATACGTGATCACAGCTTACTATTGAGATTCCTCCATGATCGGCAAAAAGCAGCAGGAACCTTTAAACCTGCTATTCAAACGTACCTGGGAATCTGGATTAAGGTGGTGGCAACATTTCTTGGGACATGGGCAAGGTTCTCCTTGAATTCAAAAATTAATTTAACTTAATTCAATTCTCCACTGATCCATGAAACTTTGCACAGACATGGCATATTTGACCAGGACAGTATATGATAATTAATATTGCTCCTTAATGCTGAACAACAGATGTAATCATGTTAAACGCCAGATTATTCAACTGCATGTACAAAAACGATTAGAATAGTTTGTATGAAGACAGAAAACACTCACCTTTGACTTATTTTTCAGCTCAGAGGTGTTTACGTGGTTTTCAGCTGCACACGCAGTCGGTTGTTTTAGCAAACTTCAGCAGATGTTTAAAACTGTCCACATTTGACATTTGAACCAACAGGAAACTAAGTATTTATTTAGGGAGTGACTAACGTTGAAACCAGTTCTCACCACCCACCAGTAGCTGCCAGTGTTAAAAGAACCCACAAAAAAACAAGTGAATGTGAAACTACTTTAGTAAAGCAATATTCAGCTACAGTTTTCTGTAGTACTGATGGTAACTGGTGTGAGACAATCAGACACAGTTCAATTAATGTTCAAACCCTCAAAACCACACCATAATAATCAGATACTGAAAGTAATAGAAACATTGTTTTGCAGATAAAACATTCATAAGGCTTCCAAAGCAAAAACTAAAAACTTAAATTTACTGTCAATTTATCAGAAGATGGAAACAATGGTATCTACTGGTGGTGGTCAGAGGGCCCGGTGGCGCCAGTGTCCGGCAGCCTCGCCTCTGTCAGTGCGCCCCAGGGTGGCTGTGGCTACAATGTAGCTGCCATCACCAGTGTGTGAATGGGTGGATGACTGGATATGTAAAGCGCTTTGGGGTCCTTAGGGACTAGTAAAGCGCTATATAAATACAGGCCATTTACCATTTACCATTACTACTGATATGACGATTTTATACTTGTATAAAACATTATGTTGAGTACTGGTTCATCATTAATTTAAAAACACTGGAAAAAACCACCAGTAATTTCCATTTGCAAAAGGACTTAAAAAAATGGCAAATTAAACATAAACGTTTAATTCACCAACTTAAAAGGAATTATCCAGTAGCAGCCCACTTCAATCAGCTAATGACGAGGATGTAGTTTTGTAACGAGGTAACGAGGAGCTCATGACTCGTTACTGAGGAGAAGAGTCTTGGATTATTCGTTGTTTTATTTTTTTGTCGGATATATTCTGTTGCCATGTTTGTATATTCTTTAGACCTGTACTTGGGTTTTTGAAGACACCTGACCAGGTTCAACTTTTCAAACATGACGGAAGCCGGACCACATCCAGTGGTTTTTAAGTGGAAATACCGCGAGCGACTCTGAACCAAAGCACGGCCTAGAAAACGAGCAACACGAGGCATGCAAGATGCATGCAGATATGAGTCGGTGCACGACAACTCCTCGTGATCAGTTCAGATCTTCATGACAAAGGAAAAAAATCTGTAAGAACAAAAGTAATAATAACAGGAAACTAAAACTAACAGAATAACATTAAAAAGTGAAAATTACAAATTAAATCATTGTTCTTAGAGTGAATTAACTAATGTTCCATGACATCTCGATCCATCCATTTTTTCCCTTTTTAAATATGGTTACACGGCTCAAAATAAAATCTTTCCTCTCCACGCTGAGGTAATCTTTCTAGAGAGTCCTGAGTATATCCTGGGCTTCCTTCTTGTAGGGCATAGAGGTGCCCAGACCACTTCACCTGGCTCCTTTTTATGTGGAGTAATAGCAGCTGTATTCTGAAGCCCTCCCAAATGACCAAGCTCCTCCCCCTCATCTCTTAGGGAGAGCGCAGATGGACTCCTAAGCGCTTCCTCTCTGGGTCTTAGGTGATTTCACTCAGTTGGTCACCTCATAATTACAGAGCTGAATTACAGAATAAAACAATCCTAACCCAGTGTACAGTGAGAGATCCTCTTAATTATTCCACCATACCACATTCTGCAAAAAACAAAGATTAAGACAAAGATTCATCCATCATATCTTTTTGAACAGTATAAGCATGTCTGTTTCCAGAACCTCTGAAAGATTTGGACCACAGAGCAGTAAGACAACCACTATACATGCAGGCAGAGTCACATACAGTGGGGCAAAAAAGTATTTAGTCAGCCACCGATTGTGCAAGTTCCCCCACCTAAAATGATGACAGAGGTCAGTAATTTGCACCAGAGGTACACTTCAACTGTGAGAGACAGAATGTGAAAAAAAATCCATGAATCCACATGGTAGGATTTGTAAAGAATTTATTCGTAAATCAGGGTGGAAAATAAGTATTTGGTCAATAACAAAAATACAACTCAATACTTTGTAACATAACCTTTGTTGGCAATAACAGAGGTCAAACGTTTACTATAGGTCTTTACCAGGTTTGCACACACAGTAGCTGGTATTTTGGCCCATTCCTCCATGCAGATCTTCTCGAGAGCAGTGATGTTTTGGGGCTGTCGCCGAGCAACACGGACTTTCAACTCCCGCCACAGATTTTCTATGGGGTTGAGGTCTGGAGACTGGCTAGGCCACTCCAGGACTTTCAAATGCTTCTTACGGAGCCACTCCTTTGTTGCCCGGGCGGTGTGTTTTGGATCATTGTCATGTTGGAAGACCCAGCCTCGTTTCATCTTCAAAGTTCTCACTGATGGAAGGAGGTTTTGGCTCAAAATCTCACGATACATGGCCCCATTCATTCTGTCCTTAACACGGATCAGTCGTCCTGTCCCCTTGGCAGAAAAACAGCCCCATAGCATGATGTTTCCACCCCCATGCTTCACAGTAGGTATGGTGTTCTTGGGATGCAACTCAGTATTCTTCTTCCTCCAAACACGACGAGTTGAGTTTATACCAAAAAGTTCTACTTTGGTTTCATCTGACCACATGACATTCTCCCAATCCTCTGCTGTATCATCCATGTGCTCTCTGGCAAACTTCAGACGGGCCTGGACATGCACTGGCTTCAGCAGCGGAACACGTCTGGCACTGCGGGATTTGATTCCCTGCCGTTGTAGTGTGTTACTGATGGTGACCTTTGTTACTTTGGTCCCAGCTCTCTGCAGGTCATTCACCAGGTCCCCCCGTGTGGTTCTGGGATCTTTGCTCACCGTTCTCATGATCATTTTGACCCCACGGGATGAGATCTTGCGTGGAGCCCCAGATCGAGGGAGATTATCAGTGGTCTTGTATGTCTTCCATTTTCTGATGATTGCTCCCACAGTTGATTTTTTCACACCAAGCTGCTTGCCTATTGTAGATTCACTCTTCCCAGTCTGGTGCAGGTCTACAATACTTTTCCTGGTGTCCTTCGAAAGCTCTTTGGTCTTGGCCATGGCGGAGTTTGGAGTCTGACTGTTTGAGGCTGTGGACAGGTGTCTTTTATACAGATGATGAGTTCAAACAGGTGCCATTCATACAGGTAACGAGTGGGGGACAGAAAAGCTTCTTACAGAAGACGTTACAGGTCTGTGAGAGCCAGAGATTTTCCTTGTTTGAGGTGACCAAATACTTATTTTCCACCCTGATTTACGAATAAATTCTTTACAAATCCTACCATGTGGATTCATGGATTTTTTTTTCACATTCTGTCTCTCACAGTTGAAGTGTACCTCTGGTGCAAATTACTGACCTCTGTCATCATTTTAAGTGGGGGAACTTGCACAATCGGTGGCTGACTAAATACTTTTTTGCCCCATTGTATAACCACCAGTCACAGCTTTTTTCTTTGCATCCACACAAAGTCCTTTTCAAATAGAACGTAGTAAGAAATAAAGCAGTGAATAAAGCAACAATGCTGGCTGTTTTAACAGACTGTATCACTGCATTATTCATTGTGACTTTTAGACTGTATGTTTTGGTAGAAGGTGTCAGTTTGCTGAGGAAGCAAATAGCCTGCAGCCTGGCACCTGTGAACAATCGTGGTTTCCAACAGGAAACTTTTTGGGGTTTGTTTGCTTTTTGAATTTCCATTCCAGTTGCATGTGGTTTTAGCTGCACATCATTTGTCTACACCCGAACCTGTGAGAACCACACCAGCACCTTCCAAATACTCGACAAACTTTGCATTTCTTTTAAGATGCTCCAATAGATTCACTCATTATGTAGTTTGTTTTTTTTAATTGAAAAACTGCTTCACAAAGTACTGAAACAAGTTTAAGGACTCTGAAATAAAAGTAATAATTGTGCTCAGGCAATGAGAGAAATAAAAATTGGCATTAAAATATCCTTAAAGTAGCTAAAGTACAGTAAAGGCATCGATTATTAGTATAATATATCAATAATATTAATTTTTAAAATTGTGACTGTTTATTGTAGGTTGTTAATATGAATTTCACTGTAAAGCTGCAGTTGGAGATCATTTAAGTCTGATCTATAATATTACAGCACTGTATATGAGTAGCTTTATATTTTGAATTCTGTAAAATAATAAGTAATCAAAGCTTTAAACTATGTGTTATAGACAGATTATTTAATGTCATTGTGCAAAGAAACTATTTTCTAGTGGTTCGTCATAGCTGAATATGGAAGATAAAAGAATAAAAAATGGCAAGAGAGCTGCAACGAGGTTAAACTGCTAAACTGTTAAAAGAACTGTTTCCTGTTGAACTTTCCTCTGCAGTTCTGGTGCTAATTGGTGCAAAAGTTGGGACTCTCCCACCAGGTCAAAGTGTCAAACCACATCAAATCAAAGAGGAACAAAACTGATACTAGGGAAATTTTCCAGGTTACAGTTTTACACAGTAAAATTGTAACTTTAACACAGTAAAGTTTTCAAGTAAAACAAGTTAGTCCTGTCACACACTCATACTGACGGATGCCTCTTTCCCCACGTCTACTCACACACGTACAGGTCATTTAAAAATAATTTTAAACGAATTTTGACATCAGTGCCAGATGACTATTTCTACTATTTCATTATTATTGCTTATTATTGATTTGTAAATAATTGGACATGACTAAGCTGAGCTTATTATATTACAGTACAGTACGGGATATTTCTAAATCATCACACAGCTCATTCTCGTTCTCTTGACAGTAAAATCTTGAGACATACTTCAAATGCTTTTTGGCGTCAGGAAGAAAGGCAAATGTCAAATGTAAAAGTGAGGTCAGAGGTCAAGTGTAGTGTAATATTTGGATGCAATGTGGAATTAGAATCCCCATGTAACAGTATCATTTCCTAAATGTAGCTAACACACACAAAGACAGCTGAATTTTAAGCGCTGCTTCAAAAATAATAGACATTTTATGAAAAATTTGACTCTACTTGACTTCAAAGAAGAGGTCATAGGTCCAAAGTAAAGTGATATTTAAAAACCTTGTATATTACTCACTTTATGCCTATATATTATCAATACAAATAATAGCAGTTAGAACTTTTTTAAAACTAGATATTTTTAGTATTATTATTACTTTGACGCGCAGATGAATCAAATACTTTCTATATGTTGACAACAACACTTGTAAGAATCATAGTTTTTAAGTTATAAGGCTTTTTGTCCATTTTCCACCAATAAATCATTCAGTCGACCTTGAAGACCGCGGTGGGTGTAAGCCAGATTTTAATGGACTGCTGACATGACCCCACTCTACATCGCCTGCAGAGTGTGATCAAAATTCATGCAAAATCTTTCAAGATATACAGATGTGACATGTACACGAGCACTACCAAAAACATAACCTCCTTGATGGAGGGTCAGATAGATAGAACAGAGGTGTCAAAGATGTGGCTGAGGAGCCAGAACCGGCTCACCAATGCACTGCTCCTCACAGTGTGATAACTGCAATGAAGTAATAGGTATACGTTTTTTCAGAAAAATCTATTTCTGTTTCTGGTGTGGTGACACTAGGTTTACTCCACAGGAGAAAAACTGTCTGGCCATGAGGAGATGTAATGTGTAACACACAACTGTGAGGGTTTATGTATGTCCTCTGTAATCTGTAAGACTTGATTTAATGTGGAAAACTGACATAGACTGTTGAAATTGTTGAAATTGCATAAGGTCTTGATTTATCCTGTATTTCTTTACAGTTTATTAGGAAAATGTAAAATTTATTGACACATGCAAACATACAACGAAATACAAGGCAAAAACTAAGTTTATAATTCTAACAGGTGTGTGTCTATGAAGGTATGGTTTTAGTGTGTTTAGGATTTTTATGCTGAAAAACGAAGCTCTTTGGGAATCGCCTGCTTAGTACAGAAATAGTATTTTATGTCTTTGGCATTTTTCGTTTGTTCACATAAAAAAAGAGGACTCATGATATGTTTTTTCCAATAGGCTTCTAGTAGCGAAGTGCCTAAAGATGGAGTTTAAAATGGGCTCTTTGCTAAGTCTAATCTTATTCAAATCAATTTTATTCATACAGCGCCAAATCACAACAACAGTCGCCTCAAGGCGCTTTATATTGTACAGTAGATCGTACAATAATACATACAGAGAAAA